TCCTCCCGGCCCCGCGCGGCTGGTGCTTGGCTTTCGGTGCCGGCCTCGCCTGGCTGGGCTCCTCCTCTCGGGACTGGAGAAAGTGGCTGAGAGGGGAGGCTTTGGCCAGACACGAGCGGGCCGCGTTCCTCCTTTCTATCCCTAAAGGAAAAAAGGGGGTGTGTGGGGAGGTGCCCTCCCCGCCGCCCTCTTCTCCCCGCCCCGCTGCCTGGTTTAGGGGGAGCCGTGCCGTGCTCTGCCTGAGCTCGGGGCCGGCTCCTGGGACCCTCTGCTCACCTCGCGTCCTCATTCAGGGCTCAAGGAGGGCTTTTGAAAGGGCTGTTCTGAGTGGGAACACGGGGCTCTCCATTGCGGCTGCCGTAAGCTTGCTTGTCCTTGTGGCTGTGTCTATCCCATCGCTGTTCTAAGGACTCTTGGGAGCACTCGCTGGGAAACTGTTACAGACTGAAAACAGCGTGGGTTAGTTCAGTGGGCCTCTTCTCCAGATTGATAACAGTGTAGCAGCCCCTTCCACCTGATAGCAAAGCAGTGTTCCGCTAACAGTGTTTACTTTCTGCCAAGTGCTATGTGCCCCTCTCTTGAGGGGTCTCGCTGCTCAAGGGATGAGGTTCCGTCTTTTCCATCAGGGGAGCATAAGCCTCTTGATCCCTTTCTCTCAGAAGAGGAAAAGCAGTTCTACAGTAAGCAAGAAAATTCTGCTAGGAGTACTAAATTTCTAGTGTTATCTGCTAGATTCGGAAATGAATGCAATGGTCATGAAATGAAGCCAGGTCTGGTGGATGCAGCTGAAGTACAAGAGCAGCTTGCAAAACAGAAATTTGATGACAGCACCTCATCTTCAGCATGCTTTACTTTGAAACTGGCTGGGTCTTGTCATTCTTGACTATATATTTTTGTCTTCATAGACATAGCAGGAATAAGAAGAGTTTGCTTCAGTAATCTTTTGTGATATAATGCTATATTGTGCAGTGTGACTTGCTGCATATTATAATAAAAGTATTCCACTAATTGTCCCCTAACTATGCTGATGTTTGTTGTATGAATATGGCCTTAAATAATTTCCATGAGGTGAAAATGCTCTGTTGTGCTTTACTTGATCATTTACTTTAGCCAGAAATAAAACTGTAGAAATCACTTGATATTCAAGTTGGCATTCAACTTGCTTTATTCATTAGCACTAACGCCTTAAGTTGCATTACGAAGTATGAAATCAGGTATGATGTAGTTTTATCAGATGCTACTAAAAGCAGCAGGTGAGTGCTCATTCTGCTGATGTGAGGGATGCTGAATTGTTGGCAGAAAGTGTTCATGTAAAAAGACAGATTAAATCAGTATGAATCTTATTTGTCAAAGGGTTTTTTAAATTATTATTCTTTAGGTTCAGGGAAAGTAAATGCCATCTACATAATATAAAAACATTTTAAAAGTAGGCATAATTCCCTCCCCCTTTTGTGTTTTCTTACTGTTTACAAGTCTTTATAGGTAAGTATCTAAATTATCCACACACACCCCGCCCAAATACGTAATCTTGGAGAACTAGTGCATAGTTTTCAAGACTGAAGTTCAAGAGGGTGTGACTAATTCTTATTATAAGGTTTAGCTAAACTTGGTTTATTAAAGTGAAGTTGTCTGGCTAAATTTCTTGGAAACGTTGGAAAGTTAGGGGTCATTCTCAGTGTGCCTAACCACAACCTTAAGGATAGCAGCATAGAATGGTACTTTAATATCCTGATCTGGAAGATGTTAACCATGTTATTAAAAGCTAGAAACAGTCCTTAGTGCAGAGTTCCCTAGGCTTTTTGAAATGGCGTTCGTTCATCATCTCACTTCACTGGATGACTGATTGGAGTATTCTAAGGTGTTACCACTGAAATATTTATAAATTGTGTATGAAAGATACTACTAGGAATGCAGAAGTTCTGCTGAAGTGACATGAATGATATCTTCAGGTAACACCAACCAGTTAGCTGTGGAGCCAAATCCTTTTTTATGTGAAAACTTTGTATAATCTTACTGAAAATGCCCCGTGATTCAAGTAAACACAGGCTGGTGGGATTCTAAGTATTTTTCTCCAAAGCCAAACAGAACAATGCTATCTAACTGAGAACTTAAAACCAAAATGGCTGGGTTTACTCCAGTTAGTGAAATGAAGTGCAAAAGTAAACGTTACATTTAAAACCAAAATGGCTGGGTTTACTCCAGTTAGACAGTGAAATGAAGTGCAAAAGTAAACGTTACACGTGGGGAGTAAGCTGTGTAGGAATTGGCAGGTATGTTTGCCCTTCCCTCTGTTAGTATGTGTTCTCGTTTGCGTGGTCGTGCTGCCGCCTTGTGGGTATTATTTGAGTGTATGCAGCAAAGGTGCGTGTGTTTTGTAGTACGGTAGAAAGCAAGCTCTATATTTCTGATTAAGGAGCCTAATGATTAGCAGTGTAGATGCTCAGATGCAGGTTTTCATCTTCAGGGTTGATAAACAAGGATTTGCGTTTTGCTTTAAGTCATTTTTCGGAGCAATATGTGAATTCATGCATTTTATATTATTATTATTGACTTCAGAAACTTGAATTCAGTTACTTTTGTGTGCAACTTTAAATGGAAAAATTAGCAAAATTTGGTTTAGAAATACTCTAATGTGTTTTAACGAAATATGGAAGAAGCATCTTAGGAAAACAATTATCTAGATTTAAACCTTTTCTTTCATTGTTGTTCCCCAAACATGGAAATATTAAGCATTAAGCTAATCAGCGAGACTACAGCAAACTAATTTATTTTTCCTTCTGCATCAAGGAACTGGTTAGTTCATCTTTATGGGAGATTCTAGAAAAGAAGGAAGGAACCTCTCTGGACTCCTGACATGCTGATCTCATGCTTCATTTGGGAAAGAAGTGGGAATGTACCAACCCCCTTCTTTCTCCACGTGGCTAGGTCCTTTTACTGCTATTTCCCAAAAGGAGGTCAGGAGGAGAAATTAGCAAGTGGAGAGAATAAGGCACTTCATCCTGGATTTTGGTGTCTAACAGGAGTGTGAATGAAATGCACACAGTGTTCTTGCCTGCTGTTTTGGGACAGTCTTTTGGTTTCTGCCTGCTTGCTAGGTATCTGCAGTTTTAGTGTGAATTCCATTATACATGTAGGTGCCTTTTGCACATTAATATTAAATATTTAATGAATTGAATGTGTGTATAGATAGGCTTTCAGATTAGGGATGAGCGTCGCTTCTTGATAACTTGTATGTTGATTCCTGTTAGGAAATCTTTAGCAATTTGAAGTGCTTAGTATCCAGGATTGCTTATGCAAAGAATTGTCTTGTAAGTATTTTTCTAAACAAATATATTAGCACTGGAAATTTAGTATCATTGTTGGAGAATTTCTAAGTTTACACTTTTGATATTTTTTTTTTTTTAGAAATTTGGTTTTATGTTGGAAACCATAAAGCTATCATCCCCTATTTTCCCTACTTCAAGATATAGATAGATACACAGAATGTGATATTGGTGATATTGGAACCGGACAATTTCTTAATTCTTTGTTTTCCCTGAAGGGTAGCATGGATTTAGAAACAGGTTAAGGGAGTTTAAAGATCAGTCATCTGCATCCATGTCCTCTACCTTCAGAGACTAATAATTTATAGAAATTTGCAGTTAGTTCTTACAGCATTTCAATTAAATCATTTAGATACATATGTAGTGTAATTTTTAACCGTGAAGGAAAAACTCTGCAGAATTCAAAATCTCATATGAAACACATTAAAGGGCAGACCATTTTTGTGCAGCCCAGTGAAATATGTCAGTGCCTTTATGTTAAGAGTTCATCTAAACACTTCTCTTCAAATAGTCACTTCATATATTAATGTTTGCTTAGCATTTTGCAGTCCATTTTCCTCCTAAAGCAATTCCTGTATTTTCTTAATACTGTTCTTCTACTTTACTGCTAATATTTCTTCTACCGCAGTTGCATGTTTACCTTGACATTCTTTATCCAGCATTTGTTAGTAGTTTTCTTGGAGCAATTTACATTGCTTATTCCCAGTCTTTTTCTGCAAATTTTTTTTCCAGCATTTTTTCATATTTAGATTCCTTATGGGCTACCACCTATATAAATTTCTTCCCATGAGGACTTAAATTCTGGTAAGATGGCAACCTGTTATCTTTATTTTAGATAAGAATATTATTAAAAAAAACCTAAGGAAACCAGTAGCTTATCCTGTCCTTTTTTCATACATGTTTTTGTTACTCTTGAAACTCTTTCATCTGTCAATCATTCCCCTCCAGCAAAAATATTTTAGCCTTCTCTGATCATTTATAGATTGGTGTCTAATCTGACACTCCTAAACATAATATTGAGCACTGATAAGATTGTTCAGTGATGAACTTCAAAAGTACTTAAAGGCTCCAGTTAAGCCTTCCATGACCACTGTAAGACGTTTTGTTACTTTAATCTGTCATAGCTCACATGAGCAAAGTACCGTATCTGGTAATTGAACTTGAAAGATTTAAATATTGAATGTTATTTGAAAATGAATTTCAGGAGTACTGATACATGAACTGGTGTGACAGTTAGGACCTCTGATTTGTAGCATCTGTCCTGCAAGAGGTGCCACTGGAAAATTCATTTGGGTCATTAAAAGGCTTTTAATTGATGAAATACACTGTCACCTATCTATTTGTGCCATTGATAGCTTTCATCCGCTTTATCTGAGAACAAGTTCGTAAACAATGGCAGTGATTACTAATCTTAGTTTAGAAATAATGAATCTTTCCTTGAAATGCTCCCTTTGACTTTCTGGCCTGTGCTGATATGCGTGCTACCTATTTCGCT